ATATATATATATATATAGTCAAAAACAAACACGAACCAAGCATTTTTCTGAGGATTGCTTCACATTTCATTAGCAAACTGTAGAACGGTGGTTTTCAACTGGTTGGCCACTAGGGGGCCTCAGTAAACTTGTACTTTTACTTTATTACATTCCTGAAGAAAAAACAGTACTTTTTCCTCAATACAATTTTATTTCAACTTGAAAAGTACTCATTACATTTTTGCATTTTTATTTGATCTTATGCAGATTAAATATGATAAACAGAAGCTCAAAAGTGCTTTTGATGTGTGAGAACCAATGAGGTTTGTTTTCATGGATCAAGCACACATATTTCAGCTTCAGTTTTAACTTTCATCAGGTAAATTTCGGGATTCAAAAGTTTGCCATGTTTAAATTATCATCACTGATTTTATTGCCTTCAGCCAATATATTTCACAACTTCCTCAGATTTGATCATTCATGTTGTGGTGGGAATGATTGGTTTTTTAAATTAAATATAACAAATCTAAAAAGAAAAATTGTAATTGTAACAGTTTCACTTTGCACTGAGAAGATGGTTCAACATGGTGAAATAAGAATATTTAAGAATATTTATTTATTTGGGGTATTTAAAGTTGTACATTTTTACTTTTACTCAAGTATGCTTTTGGTCAGGTACTTTTCCTCCTTTTAATTTTCACTGAGTATCTTTTTTTTCACTTGAGTATAATTTTTTTAATACTTTTTACACCCCTGCAAGCCTGAATATCATTCAGTTCCTACTCTATTAATTGTTCTCAAAAAACAGAACTATTAATCAGCTTTAAACATCCAACCAGATGTTTAATAACAACTTTATCTATAAAAAATTATAATAATAATCTGAATTTTAAAAAAAGTATTTCTTGTAAAACAGTAAATTCATGGATAACAACAATTATTTTATTTTAGCATTAGAAACATTGTGACTAAAGAGCTTACGCAAAAAAATGTATTGTAAAGACCAAAGGTTCAGTATGTGCCAAAGGCAATGAATTAAACCTGTTTGGTAACAGCTGCTATTAGTGGTGGTTATAACAGCAGTGAGCGATTTTGTCCTAATGCATGGATCCACTCTACATATCTGATTTCTTTCCCAGCGGTTTACATTCACTTAAGAGCTTGTGCATTGAGTTCTTTCTTTTTTTTTTAGCAGGCTACATCTGTAACATCATACAGCTTTGAGAAACAATGTAACTTGAAAAGGCTGCATTCAAAGCTGGATCTAAGTCTGAAAATAAACTTGATTTTCCTCACAACTGTCACAGAATGTACTGCTTTCTTTGATATTTTTGAAAGGCCCTTTACTGGAATTAACGTTTTCCACCCATTTACTAAGGGCTACCGATTGCACAGATTACTGCCATCCTTTTCTTCTCTCCTCCTCTCTATTTTCATCCATATGATGGCATAATTTACATTTTAAAAGTCATGTAAACACTTAAAAAGCATTCGTACAAAATCCAAGAACTGTGCATTGTTGCTGCCATCTAGAGGCAATTGATTCACACAGCCATGTCAGTGGACTCATAAGAGAGCAAACATTGTGCAACTAATTATTAGTATAATAAGAAATGTACAGTCCTAGAGTGACACTGAACTAGCTAAGTGACACTAAGCAAACACATGGTAGCCTACCAATTAGAAACGCAAATAAAAAGCTGTGTGTTTTCCACTATTAAATCTGACATACATCTAATATAAAGTCTTTATATCAAATCAGCAAATTCACAACTCCCCAAAATATTCTAATAGTATTAATATATAATATAAATATATGTCATATATTATAAAGAATTATATATTACTGTATATATTAGCTATTGTAATATACTATTTATAATAACTCATATGATGATGATGATGGATATTATATAATTTATTACATTATATATGAATAACAATTATATTTTACTGATATGAGTTTACATTATTTGGGGGCTAAATATTGTAATACACATTATAAATTGATATATGAATTATTATACAATAATATGATTAGTACTACTACTACTACTACTACTAGTAATAATAATAATAATAGTAATGTATTATATTACAGTGTAGATTACATTGTTACACTATAGACATACAATCATATACATTATAATATATAATGATATGTAATAATTATATATATATATATATATATATATATATATACTTTTTTTTTTCTATCATTGTATTAAGAAAAAAACAAAAATCCAAAATGTTTTTGTGTTCACATATGAATTACTTTACAATATTATTATGATTAGTACTACTAACAACACCAACAACATCAACAGTAATAGATTACATTGTTACACTATTGATATACAATAATACTATAAATATATGAATTATACAGTATTATTATGAGTAGTACTACTAACTATAACAAAAACAAGAAGAAGAATGTATTATATTTCATCAACAACAATAATAAAAACAGTAATATTGTATTATACTACAGTATATATTACGTTGTTACACTATTGATATACCTTTTTTATCCATAATATTTATTTTTTTTTAAATTAAAAATCAGACACTGGGCCATGGATGTGTAAGCCAAACTTGATTTAGCCACAATAAACAGCCTTAAAAATTGACCCTAATCTGAATCTTGTTTTATCTGAGCACAGCAATGTGTAGAACTACCACGAGGGGGCGCAAAACACCACTTAATTGCAAACACGTGAATGCAAGTGCCTTTCTTCAGTTTATGCTTATAAAACATTTAGACCGAATCAACAGGTATCCACAACTGGGATTATATATATTTCATATATTTCCATTTCCGTCCTCTCGTGTTATGCTCAGTGCATATATTCAACAAAGACTTGCCGCCTGTTTACCTCAGAACACTTAAGCGTGTGCCTAACGTGTTTTACCAGTTGCATGAATTGATCTCATAATTTGACGATTATTTCCCAAGAACACGGCGAACAACACACCAGAGAAACGTGACGGGGCTGGATTTCCACCGTGGGGCGGAACCAATAGCCGCTCGGAAGCCACTCTGGATTTCCGTACACGTGTCATTCTGCTACCCAATGAAAGAGACGAGAGGCGGAAAAACCATCGCGTATACTGTGACTGCCCCTCATCTCAAACTTCACAGAGAGGCATATGTGGCTCCTGGACGGCTGAAATCGGGGATTGTTTACGCTTTTGGACTACCATCGACTTCACTGAGCCTTTAAAATGGAATAAAGTGCAACTATGGTGGTGAATTCCGTGCATTGGTTTCGCAAAGGGCTGCGGCTTCATGATAATCCGGCTTTGCAGGAAGCTCTCAATGGCGCGGATACTGTACGGTGTGTTTATATTTTGGACCCGTGGTTTGCAGGCTCGGCCAACGTGGGAATCAACAGATGGAGGTTCGTGCCTTTTGTTTTAGTTTTTTTTTTTTTGTTATAAACAGACATACGTTGGGAAGTGTAGTACAATTGTGAAGGGTAAGTTAGATATGGTGGCGCGTAACTACGCAGCTCTTTTGCACAGCCGTTGTTATGTTTTGGCCCTGACATGCGCCAGACTCGGTGTGCATGGTAGCGGGTGCTCTGCTATGTCATTTTAAGGCAATACATGTGCAGATATCTTATTTAAGCACAAAAATTAAACACTGTTTTTTTTATTACCCGTATATATTATAAAAAGTGTAAATCATTGACTTGCGTAAGGGGCCCAACTACAGTTTAGAGCAGGTGAACAAGCTTCAAAAGTCAGCTGGACACTTCAGTTCAACTTTTCTAAATCCAATAGAGTATGTTATTTCTATTTTAAAAATACGTGCTGAATTAATGCTTCTTTAATAATGAAATGTATGTAATTGTGGTGGTGCCGTGACAGCCTTCAGACCATTCAGTTATATGGAAGCTAGCAGGCCAGTTGTTTTGCTCACGCCCACTTTGGTTTTATATAACAGCTAAAATGACCAATTTCATTATTGCGTCATTGAATGTGTCTGTCGGTAAAGTCAACCACACGCAGTTTGGAGACAGAATTTATAAAAGCGTGCGCGATTCTAAAGACTCTAAATTCTATAGCGCGAGTCACGTGACAGAACAGGCCCGTTTTCACGTGTGCTGTCGTGTGCTGCATTCACGTCATGCTATTATTACTGTGATTTCGACATAACAACACGTGCAGTTCTACTTGGAGCCGTTGTTACGAGATTTTTGGTTTCCGAGATTTTCGGTTTCAGTGGGCGGAGCATACATGAATATTCATGAGTTTCCCGGACATGCGCGTGGAACCAAGTGGAACTGAGAATCTCAGTTCACGCTTCTTGTATCTCAGCAGGTTTAATGGAATATTTAAAAAAAGGTAAATAT